AAAAAAATTATTCTTGTCATAAGCAAACCTACAGAAAATATGAAAAATGATGCCAATGAGGCTACTTTGCATTATCTTTCACTAGTGAAACTTCTCAGAATCTCAAAAGCCCATATTTAGGATATTTTTCCCAACTTGAAAATACTCTGTCTAACTCAATTACGAAGGGAGTGTGCTCAGCATGAACACTCAATGGGGATGTTGTCCTTGGTGTAATAAAAATATGCAATTATTATGAAATTCCTCCTGTAACTGAGTTCTAGCATTCTGAATGGAGTAAAGGGATTTGAAGTTTAAAATATAACACCTGATTTTATAATGTCTGATTTTATCAACCAGAATATGAGATAAAAGAGAGAGGGGAATTTACATTTTAGAATTGCTTTAAAATTGGCTTCTCAAGTACCTGTCTTCCTTGTCACAGGGTAACAGAGATATTTTATATAAAAATAAAATTCACATAATTAGAAAAACAATAAAAAGTGCCACTACAGAGTGTAAGCCAACAATCATTTAAATCTATTAGGACTTTGAAAATTGATCTTGCACAATTTTCATTCTATTCAAAAATTCCTGAAAGCCTTCCATGTGAAATATAATCTATAATTTATAACATATAAATATAATATTCAAATATTCATAGCAAGTGCTATTCCTATTGTGTAGTCCTAACAAAAGTAGAAGCAGTAGCACTGTAAACACACAGGTGCTATAAACACTATATGGTATTATGTAGAAATATAAAACGGTAGAATATTGTAGAAATTGTAATTTTATTCTTATACTTTTGAAATTAAAAAATCATTATATATATATATTACATCATTCTTCATTTTGTACATTTTTTCTTCTCAGTAGTAATCCCATGGACTTCCCACCACCAATTCACCCATATGCCATCACCCATAGTCCTAAAGACTAACTCTTTTTCTTCAGATATAATCCATGTTATCTCCATGAAGAACTCACTATTGTCCCTAAATCTAAGAGACCTCTTTATCTTCATTTCCTTGTCATTAACTTTAAAATTTTCAGTTTTACACCACATCTCTACTTTTCATAGTAGATGGCTCATGATAATTCTAAATGGCAGCGTATATAGTTCTTTAAAAAATTTTTTTTGATTGCTTCCTGGACCACTGCTGACCTCCACAACCCTAGAAACAGAGTCCTTCAGAAGGGACTGTCCTACTGGTTTCTGACATAAGGTCAGAATCACAACAACAAAATAAAGACTCTTAAGAGTCAGAATGCCCCCAAATTACATGGGTGTGCATTTGAGTCCTTTGGGACCTTTGAACATCCTCATTATAAATGAATGACCTATCATTTTGCATTATTGAAATTAATATATATCGTCATTAACATAGTAACAAAATACTAAATAATTTTAATACCAACTCCCTTTCAGCTATTTCAGTATTGTTAGGGAATGGCTTGACTTTAAGTGATTTCTTGGAATGTCAAATCTCTTGAGTTAGGGTAAGGTATATATATATATACACATCCATTTATTTTATTCTGTCGATTTGGGTAGACAATAATGCTATCCCTTAGAATTGTCTATATTTATTGTGCAGAGAGGTTGTGATGTGTGCATGTGAGGCTGTAAATAATGATCATTTTGAAAGAAAAAGAAGAAAAAACACTTCTTAAAGTTGGCAAAATAATACAGGTTTCACTTCCCCCTCTCTGAGAAGAGATGGCTGTATACCCTGCGATGACCAGAAGTGTGTACTATCACTCTTTGAAAATGAATTTTAACATCTGCTCTAAATCTGATTTACAGATTTAGTTAAATAAGTTATCCTGTCACTTAGAACACTTAAGTATTGACCAAAGGCAGTCCGCTGAAAAATCCAGACGCACGTTACAGACTTGATGTATCCCTTGGACTTAATACTGTTGAAGTGGTGAGGTTATTATTTATGTTGTCTAAAGGATTTTCACAGGGAAAATGTTTTGGAGAGTTCCTTTTTCCATTATAATTATGAGAGGAACTGTGTCTTCATACTGCCCCCTAGTGGCCTTCAGGAGGAAAGTGGGGGAGGGGCAAGAAAGGTAAGGGAATGGAGAAAGGATTAAAGGAGTGGAGACACCTGTAGGAGAGTGTATCAATCTCTGTATATCATCCGCAAGAGAGGATGTTGGTTTGGATTTGGAGGGTGAAATGGAGATGGAGAAAAGGAGAGATATGAGAAGCACAGAGGAGGAAAACAGGACTCAGTGATAAGTTGGATGCTTAGGACATGTCACTTCACTTCTGTGTGCATGTGTTAGTTGGTATAAACATGTTTTTATCCACTCCCATATTTGGTTTTTAGGTCTTTTTCCAGTTTATATTTTGAACTTTCACTTAATTTAATTCCAGCTGGATGGAGGCTAATGGTGGTAAATAGCAGAAAATATTTTCAGGGTACTGTGATGACAAACATCCCTCTAATTCTGCATTTAGTAACAAAATAGCTTGACTTCTGTCCCATTTGTTTGGATAATGCTACACTAGCCAGAAAGCAGAAATATGTTTACAAACGACAGACCTCAGCTTGTGTATATGTTAGACATGGGAAAATAAATAGAATATTTGGGTTTGAAGACATAAAATTAATGCTTTCCTTTGAAAAATGTACAAATTCTGCACTCTTTCTTTAAATGAAATTAGTTTTTTAAGCCAAGAACAATAGCTTGGTTTTCTCATTGCGTAATAATTTCACCTCAGTTGTGCTCTTGACACTCAGTCAGAGCTGTGCAGCGACCCACAGCTCACATGTACATAATGCAAGTTGTGCTCCCAGCTGTGCATGGAGGGTTTGTCTTTTGATGTTGGCTGTTATGTTCAATTTAGTAAAAGCTCTATTCCACTGTGTGCTAGAAACTTTGCTTTTGAAACAGCTATATTCTTTTAAGTGCTTCCTTTTACTACTTCCATAAAGAGCAAAGAAAGAGTAGAAGGTAGAACAGAAGTGAACCAAGGCCGTTACGCCATTGTATAGGAGAAGGGAGGAGATGAAACCCCAGCAGAAAGTTCTTGTGCAGAGATACACGGGCTATTAATTCCTGGATTCCAGTATTTTTTTTAAATAAATAAGAGAAGCTCAACTGATGGAGTGTGGTTTCATATACTCAAATTTTCCCCAAACTTCCTGGTTCTCAAAAAGACAAAGCTCCTGACATTTAGGTATGCATTTACGTAAAATACTTTGTTTCCTGTTGTGCATGCCCTTGAAATACCTCCATTGTATACTCTTTATCTGTCCAAGATATTTTTTTTACAAGTGAAAATTGTCAAAGAAAAAAAAAGCAATAAATGACAAAGGGATTGTGCATTCTAGCCAAAGCATTGTTTATAGTGATGAAAATCTACAGAATATTTTGGTTTTTAATATGATCCTAAATGTAAAGATGAAGAGTGGTTCATATTATTGGAGTCTCAAGTTCTAATTGTCTATTTCTTCTATTTCCATGAATAAATAAATCTTTAGCACATAATTTGGGCTATGCCTTTAAAACCAATACGCTCTATGGGTTTTATTCCCTGAAACATCGCTTATTTGAGGTAGATCCAGATGTTACAGAACATAATCAAATTATCTTAATTTGTTAAAATCATTATAAAAATATTTGCATCCCCATGTTTATTGCTGCTTTATTTACAATAGGAAAGACATGGAACCAACCCCAATGCCCCAAAGTAGATGACTAGATTAAAAAGATGTGGTACATATATACAATGGAATATTACTCAGCAATCCAAAAAATAAACACATGTCTTTTGCAGCAACATGGATGGAGCTGGAATGGATCATGCTTAGTGAAATAAGCCAGAAAGAAATAGAAAAATACCGGATGGTTTCACTCATAGCAGGAGTATAAAGGACCGGGGCGGGGAGAATAATAATGAGCAACTATAGACCAGAGACAGTTTACTGTGGTGGAGTCGGGAAGGGGATAAAAAATGAGGGCGGGAGTCGGGGGGGGAAGTACACTGGACTATGGTGACTGCACATGGGTGATTTGGTGATGGGAAGACCACGGGGATTACAACTGAGATAGAAAAAGACACAAAATGATGTAGTAATGAACTATTATATTATTTTTTTAAATGTTTGCTTTTTTTATCAACTTTTTATTACAAAGCACCAATGTGGACACGTAGTGTCCTTTAAAGACTTGGAATTGTGACAATCATTAATATAGCAGTGGATGACAGTACTCTTTATGCTGGAAATAGGAAATGCAACAACTTCTATGTCTGTGTTACTGAGTTATCTGTTTGCATCAATATCAAGATCTTAATTGCTGCTGTTTGATTGTAAAAGCAATACCACCTCCAAAATGATTTACTGGTTTCAAATGCATTAACCTTTGCTTGCAGTTGATGACCACAGATGAAAAAGATAATGGGTTAAAGAATAAGTTCTCATGCTCACTCATATTCTTTGTATTTAAAGTTTTCCTATTGATTAGGAATATTTTATTTTAAAGGAATATTTTAGTAGACTTTCTTGGAATGAATTTTCTCATTCTGTAAATATCACTGAGTTTAGAAATGAACAGCTCTAGAACCCTACTGTAGGGTTTCTGAGAAGTAATTATACATGTTTCTATAACCAAGAACTATAAAAGTAGCAAGAGGATTTTAAATATTTTCTCATACCTGACATTCTCCTAGATTCCTTTTAATTTGAATCCATCTCACTGAGACTAATCTATTTCTAAAGTTAACTTAGGTACTCATTTGTTTAGAAGCTGTCTGTGCGCCAAGATGTTTTCCTTTCTCCCTCGTGTACCCAGCGCTGTCGCAGAAGCTGATGGGATCGGCCCATTAATAAACACCCTGTCCAGCACGCGAGAAGGGGCCATCGCCAGTGCTGCGGCCGCCTTAACCAACATGGCCATGCAGGAGCCTCTGCGCGTGGCCATCCAGGCCCGCGGCATCATGCAGGCCCTCCTCGGGCCTCTGTGTTCGGCCAGCACCGTGGTGCAGAGCAAGGCGGCTCTGGCCGTCGCTGCCACTGCCTGTGACTTTGAGGCCCGGACAGAGGTGAGTGTTCTAGCAACGTGGATTCTCTCGTTCTTTCAGGCCACGCTCAATGGCGGATCACTCTGAAAAAATGTTTCAGGTGTTTTACCGTTTTTAAGTCCTTTAAGAAAGGTGCAGCATTTTGCAAAACCAACTCGCATTATCTGGCAAACCTTGTGGCATACATACCCTGTATGCAATCTAGCAAGTCTGTTGCCACTGTGCTCTGAGAAGCATTGTTTATAATTTCTACACACCTGGAAAGAAACCAGTTGTCCAGTGGTTAAAAGAATGTGTAAAGATTTGTGCTTATTGATAAAATAGAATGACACATCAGTGAAAATTAATTATAGGCATTGATTTGCGTTGTCTATTTTACTTTGGCCTCTAATTCATTTTCAACAAAAAACTGAACTCCTTTCTGGAAGGGCTTGCATAGATTCTTCCCCACAAAGTTTAGTAAATATCAACATAGGCACATCCTAAACTATTTTTTTTTTAATTTCAGCAAATAATGAAATATTTGGGGAAAATGTTTAGATTTTCTACTCTTAATGCACAGCATTTTGGTGTCTACTTTCAGTTAAGAAATTTAGGGGGGCTGGAACCCCTGGTGGAGCTCCTGCTCTCCAAGAATAACGAAGTCCGGAGGCACGCGAGCTGGGCGGTAATGGTCTGCGCTAGCGATGAATTGATGGCCACTGAATTTTTCCAGCTTGGGTGAGTGGACGCTGTGCTGTGCCAAATCCCAGCATCAGATGAAGAAGCAGACAGTCAAGCAGCAGGCAAAAGGAATTTCAAAAAGAGTCACCCCAACTCTCGGGCTGTGTACAGGTCTTCCCTCTGAAGGGACTCCCTGAGGGGAGAAGCTACCCCTCTTCCCTTTCTTCTTCTCACCCCCACCACCATTTCCTCTTATACTTTTAATCTTTAAAAATTTTGTAAAATTTCTTTGTATTCAACAATTTTGTAATTAAAAATATTGATAGCATTCTATAGCCATGCATTGTACAGCATTAGAATTGAACATCTTTATATAGGACGTTATCTTCGCCACCTAACACCAGGTCCCATCCTCCAGGACACAGTTGACCCCTTTTACCCACCTCACCCACACCTTCATGTTTTTCATCTTGATAAATGCTTTTTTTTTCCCCACTTTCTTCTGCTATTGCTAAACATAATCCTGTGTGTGTCTCAACTTCAAAGCTCAAATAAAAAAGGTGATCCACATGAGCACCTTCTTTGTTCTCCCCATCCAAACCTTTTCACTAGAATTTCCTCAGTATTTCACCCCCTCACTAAATACCTTCTCCTTCCCAGCAGCAGATGAATTAATTGCTTCTAGTGTATCAGAAAACATTTTGAACTTTCCAGAGACACGTTTATTCTACGTCTAACCAGTTTTATTTTATGTATATTTTATTTTACATACATTTGAAGAGCTGAAAGTGTTGGAGTCTAAAACAGCTACTTTAAATGAAGAAATTATTTTTTCTGAAAACTTTAATATAATATGACTACTATTTGACATTTATGTTTCCCAAATTGAATGATTTGCTTTCATTATTCTGTTAGTATGAGTTTATATAAAAGGTTCTGGGATAGCTTGTAAATTTTCCATGTCAATCCTTACTGAGAATTTTAGCTAGGTATATAAATGAGAGCTCCATTAATAAGGGGCTGCTTGTAGAAAGCAAGTAATACTGTTTGCTTTCATTTACAGGGCTTTAGATATCCTTGAAGAAATTAATCTTTCAGTAACTCGAAAAAATAAATTCAGTGAGGCAGCTTATAACAAATTGCTCAACAACAACCTGCCCATGAAATATAGCCAGATGGGCTATTTGTCATCAAGTAATATAATTAGTGATGAATTCTATGATTATGGTCAGGTAAGTGGCAGCATCAAATTATATTTGTGTACATGATAATACTTTCTACTTTTATCATCATGCCATTACATTGCAACTTTATAACCAGCTAACATAATTTATATGTGTGTGTGTGTGTGTGTGTGTGTGTATAAGATTTATTTATTTATGCATATAGAACTGGGATACAGGCCAGAGGTGCAGGGGCAGTGAGAGGCTTCTCTAGAGACAGAGTAGGGAGCAAAACAGACCGACTGATGAAGTATACTGCTGAGGGGAACAGCGGGCGGGCCAGGAGAGGTCTGCCTCACCATGTGGGTCACCTCTGGGGCAGGCGGGGATTGAACATGCTGAAGTGGCTTTAGCTTCTCAGTGCTGTGTTTTAATCCACTGCATCACCAGGGAGGGCCCCATAATTTATATTTTTATAGACAAAAACATGGGAATCAAAACTTCATCCTTCATTTTGTTTGGCTGTAATGTTTTGCTTTTGTGTAAGATTTAAACTGGAAGATGATTACTTGTACTTAAGTCAGCTAGTCTCAAATGTCAGAAAATATAAAATATGAGGCATTTTCACTGTTAGGATATGTTATTTCTAAATTTCAATTTTAGTGATGAGGATAGAAATATAGGTTTTTGGTTTTTTTTTAAAGATTTATTTATTTATTCATACAGAACTGGGGTACAGGCCAGAGATGCGGAGAATGAGAGGATTCACCAGGGATAGAGTGGGGAGCAGAACAGGCAGACTGACGAAGGACACTGCTGAGGGGAGCAGCGGGCGGGTCAGGAGGGGTCTGCCACGCCATGTGGATCTCCTCCTGGTTAGGCCGGGATCAAACTCATGCGGAAGTGGCTTAAGCTTCTTAGTGCAGTGCTTTAACCCGCTGTGCCACCAGGGAGGGCCCGAAATATAGGTTTTTTAACTTAGTCTGATGAAACTAAGTTATAATCCTGATTTAAAATGTTATTTTAAAAATATTATTTTACTTAGCTAAATTTCTAATTATGATTTTTAAAGCAGTATGTAGTCTAATTTAGTATTAATGTTAATCTCGAGGATTAATTATAATCTTGAGGATGTTTTTACATTGCTGCTCAAGAGAGATTTTCTATTTTTCTGGAAACCTAGTGGCCATAATTTGAATGGGGAAGAGTTTAAAAGTCGCAAATCCCAATTTAGGCCAAACTGAAGTCATCAAAAGGTTTTAAGAGTTACTATCAGCTTCTCACACCAGGGAGAGTGTGAGGATGTGTGCCTCCCTAATCACAAGAAGACAGAAGCTTTGAAAATGATTCTTATGTGTTTTTTTTAAATTTTTTTTATTAAGGTAATGTTGGTTTACATTGTTGTTTGAATTTTGGGAGAATATCTCTCACCCCCACAAGGTCATAGTGTACCTACCAGCAAAGCACCTGTGTTTCAACACCTGGGTCCATTTGCTCCCCATCTGGCTCTCACTCCATTTCTTCCCCTCCCCCTGTGAGTTCCTAACTTATATAATACATTTTCTAGGTTTAGTTTGTATGTTTATCTTTAATTATTCCTTTGTTTAGTTTCTCTATATTCCATTTATAAGTGACACCATCAGACAGGGACTTTTTAAGTACTATGATTTGAGTTAGAAACAGAAAGGATAGAGAATGGCAAATTATAATTGGTCAATTCCAATTTAACCAATAAGTGGAGATCTTAGTACTTCCACTGGATTTATTTTAATTGTTGGGCCTTTTGCTTTTGAGTTGACACCGTTATCCTCTGATACTTTTCTATTCATTCTGTTCAGACTGAAAGGCTCCCTCAGGACAGAGTATTATCCATCTGAGCATGCGTAACCTGCAAGTTAGCATATTGCATCTTTGGAAAACAAGTCTTAAAAGGGATGCTAGATAGGTTGAATCGTGACAGCTCATGGTTTGGGAGCCTGCGGGAAAATTGACTTTGGATATCTTTAGCTTAAAACTTTAGGTCTTCCTTCTGCTTTCCCCAATTCCACCCCCCTAACACACACAGCATCCATTGAGTAATCACTACTCTAAGAAAGTCTACTTTATTCAATGATGAGTAATTCCAAAAGAAGTGATACAATTAGTATAAAAGGTGCTTTAAGGAAAATGAGGAAAAGGACATAAGAACTGACAAAATAGATCAGAAGATATTACTATAGATCAGATAAAATTGTGACAAAAAATCTGTCCACCAGTTTTTTAAAAACGAGACAATTTCCTTTATTGAGAATACACTAATTCATTTATTCAATAAATATTGACTTTTACTATTACTGGCTTTAAATACATTAGTGAACAAAAAGAAAAAGATCTCTACACCCATGGTGCCAGTGAGAGAAAACACAATGAATAAATAGCTTATATCACAGGGGTAAGGTAATATCTATGGGTGGAAGGAGTAGAGCAGAAGTAGTATGAGGAGGCTTTCTAATGTTAAGGAGGATAGTTGTGATTTTAGGCCTTGAGGCCAGTTAGACTTCACAGAGAGGGTAATATCTGAGCAAAATCCTAAAAAGCGGGAGAAAAGCTTTGAAGAGGAGGAAACAACTAGAGTAGAAGACGTTAAGATACAAAGATGTGTGATGTACTAGAGGAAAAGCAAATTCAGTGTAGCTAAAGCTGAATGAAACAAAAGGCAGAAAAAAATGGCCCTCCCTGGTGGTGAAGTGGGTTAAAGCACAGCACTAAGGAGCTAAAGCCACTTCAGCGTGAATTCGATCCCCAGTCCTAGAGGTGACCACATGGCGTGGCAGACCTCTCCTGACCTGCCCACTGCTCCCCTCAGCAGTGTGCTTCGTTGATCTGCTTGTTCTGCTCCCCGCTCTGTCTCTGGTGAATCCTGTCACCTCCCCCGCCTCCGCCCCCCCACCCCACACCTCTGGCCTGTATCCCAGTTCTGTATGGTATGCATAAACAAATAAATCTTTTTAAAAAAAAAAAAAGGCCAAAAATGGCAACTATATCAGAGAAGGAAAGAGAAGTCAGGTCATGCAAGTCTTGTAGAACATTGGAAGGATCTTGGCCTTTATTTTGAATGAAGCTGAAAATTATGGCAGAATTTGGGCAGAGTGTCATAATTGAACTTACTTTAAAAGGATTAGAAAAGAGCTTTGGATGAAGAGGGATCTAACTGTAACTTGACTGGGAAAAGACCTCAGAATGTGCTCTGAGCTAATCCTGTTCATCAGGCTGGTAGAACTGTCAGTGCAGGACTTTGTCTAGCCTGTCTTTATACAGTCTCACAGTTGTTTGGTAATTGGTTACATTTACAGACAATGAAGTATGTATTGGTATCTAAATGGATTTCACTACTTTCAGGTGTCAAGCTTGCAATTTTGGTGTCAACAGTGATAGAAGTTGTGGGGAACTGAAAGATCACATCCTGCCCAATGGCAAGAGTTTCGCACATTTCAGACTTCTAAGTGTGTGTGTGAGAGAGTGAGATTAGACATCTAAAACAGTTGAGAACATATGCTATCAATATGTATTTTTTTTTAAATATGCCATGCAGATATTACTTATAAATTCTTAAATTATCTACAGATAAATCGTGGAACCAAGCTTTTGCCTTTGAAGAAACTCTGCTTACAAGAACCAAGTGGTGTGCGTGCTATACTCTTAATTAACAGTAAACCGTCTGAAGTGTGAGTCTTTGGAGGGAAGAGGGATGCAGGGAAGCACATAATTTTTTGTTTGTTCATCATCACGTGAATAAAGATATCTGGCATGGTATCTCCTTTTCCTTGAAGATAACATCACCATAATAGTAAACGCTGGTTCGTACACCATAGCCTGCATGGTAAAGACTAGAGAGTAACTGCCACTTTGGTCTTTCCAAACTTGACCCCATATGTTATCAGTCAATTTCATAGTATTTCTGCAGTCAAGGCATCTGAACTCCTGGTAACATGAAGGAAATGAGGAAAATGTAGAGTGGAGCAAACTAGATGAAGCAGGTTTGCAAGTTTCCAGAACTACATGCATGTGTACAACTACTGCCTGATATTTTTTCTTAATGTAGTAAGAAATAAATAATTGAGCTAAAAATGAAAACATACTTCTGTAAAATGCACATGTACACTATTACATATAATCATATAATAAGCTATATAATGATGCAAAGTATAAAAATATTTGCTTTTTATATGCACAAAAAGCCTTGTAATATGACTTGGGTCTTAACAGCTTTAAAAATGTTACTTTTAAAAAGTCAGCTTTAAACATGGCTTTAAAAATGTTTTATAGTAAAAGAAAAACTAGAAAATCATTCTTATTGAACATAATTTTAAATATGTAAAATTTTAGTTCTCCACCTCTATCTTGGGAAGATAAATCATCAGATATTGGTTATGGACGAAGTATTTCTTCTTCATCTTTAAGGAGAACAAGTAAAGATAAGTCCATGTAAGAGAATGATATTTTTTCTATACACTATTTTGTCTCTAAAATTTGGGAGTTAAAAAAAAAAAGATTTTGGCAACTTAATTCCTATTCTTATTACTGTGGAAATGATCTTGGAAACAGAGCAGTCAGGAAACCTGGTTTGAATCTGCCTCCTGTGAATCTGCAGTGACACATGTCATTGTCACACATTGTTGTGGACTAAAATGACTTTGTGTCTGGGAGTATTGCTCTTCTGTGGATGGACTCTTGCCTGTTGCCTTTCTGACTAATAGTGAAAGGGATCAAAGTATATAATTAATGTGAAAATGCCTTGTAAATGTAATTATTTTTCATGTAACTGAAATTGGTTGTATTTTTTTCTTCAAATTATAAGAAAAAATAGCTATTATTTTAGTACTGGATTTGGATCTCCCACAGAAGAGAAATCAGAATCTGCTTCTGGACGAAACACTGCTTCTAGCAAAAGTGCCATCAAAGAAAAAGGAATGAGGTAGGAAATGTGTTACATATTCCTCAAACTAAAATTACATTAAGTTTTTTTTTTTAAAGATTTATTTATTTGCATACAGAGCTGGGGTACAGGCCAGAGGTGCAAGGGTGGTGAGAGGATTCACCAGAGACAGAGTGGGGAGCAGAACAGGCAGATCGACGAAGTACACTGCTTAGGGGAGCAGCGGGCGGGTCAGGAGAGGTCTGCCACACCATGTGGTCACCTCCTGGGCAGGCGGGGATCGAACTCATGCAGAAGTGGCTTTAGCTTCTCAGTGCTGTGCTTTAACCCACTGCGCCATCAAGGAGGGCCTAAATTACATTAAGTTTTAATTACACAACAAAGTTGGTGAAAATATGGGTCAGCCTTTAAAAAGGTAGCCTTCCTTGTGGTATCAATATGTGAACCAGAAACACTCATGAAGTGTATTGAAAAGTAACTTTATTTTTATCTCTTCCTGTCTCTTTAAAACTTATCTGGAGGGAATTTATTCCTGCCTTGTGGAGGAACTCAGGCCACTTCAAATACTTTATAAAGTCCTATCCTCACTTTAGGTCAAAAAGAGACAACAGAAACAGTAGTCTCTAGTTGGTCATTTCAAAGTCAGTAATGAACTGGGACTTTTCTGCCCTTGTCAGGGTGAACAGTACACACCTGAGAGTGGCCCTCCTCTCTCCCCCAGGCCTTCTGCTTTCTTACCACCTCCCAGTCTTGCTCACTGCATCTATCCCTTAAGGAAGCAACCAGAGGAAGGAAAGGGTGAAAGGACAAAGTCCTTACTTGATGGGAACAATTATTATGTGGCCCCTGCCTGACATATTTACATATACTTTCTATATATTTACATTTTTCTTAAATACATTTTACTGAGGTGACATTGGTTTAAAACATTATATAAGCTTCAGGCCCTCCCTCATGGCGCAATGGGTTAAAGCAGCACACTATGAAGCTCTCCAAAGCCACTGCAGCATGAATTCTATCCCCAATCAAGGAAGGTGACCCACATGGCGCAGTAGACCTCTCCTGTCTCACCCGCTGCTCCCCTCAGCAGTGTATTTCAGTACATCTGCCTGTTCTGCTCCCCACTCTGTCTCTGGTGAATCCACTCACCTCCACACCTTTGGCCTGTACCCGTTTTGTATGCATAAGTAAATAAAGCTTAAAAAAATTACACAAGCTTTAGATGCACAGCATTAAACGGCATCTCTATCCACTACCTCATAATCCCTACCAAAAGTCTAGTTTCCAGCCATCACCATACACTTAATTCCCTTTACAGTTCATATCTCCCAGCCCCATGTTTATATGTTTTTTAAACATATTTTTTTCCTCTGTGGACACTCACCTGAATTCTTCAGAAAACCTCTTGGACCTCTTGCCATGCTCCATGATACTTTCTTTCTTCTTTTAACTTTTTTTTTTAAAAAAGATTTATTTATTTGTGCGTACAGAACTGCAGTCCAGGCCAGAGATGCAGGGGCAGTGAGGGGATTCACCAGAGACAGAGTGGGGAGCAGAACAGGCACTACTGAGAGGTACACTACTGAGGGTAGCAGTGGGCGGGTCAGGAGAGGTCTGCCGCGCCATGTGGGTCACCTCCGGGGCAGGCGGGGACCGAACTCATGCTGAAGTGGCTTTAGCTTCTTAGTGCTATGCTTTAACCTGCTTCGCCACCAGGGAGGCCCCTCTTCTTTTAACTTTTTACTAGTTCTTCACTACTGGACTTACAGCTCCTTGAGAATAAGAACATATTGTTATTTGAGATTTTAATAAACTCATTGCTTAGTTCTGGGAGGAATTTTGTCATGGAAGGGGTAGATTTTCTGATAGTCAATCATGTTACCTGTTGTATTGTCAGTGTTTTTAAAGTTTGTTTTTGATGTATCTAGAAGTGAATTTCTTTGGTTTGTGTTATTGACATTCACTGAGTTTGTCGACTATTTAGATTTATGCCTTTAACCAAATTCAAAAAGTCATTTCAGCCCTAATTAATATTTCTTTCAACATTGCATTCTTTCTCCTATTCTGGGTACTTGAAGACATCAATATTAACTTTTTATTTTATTATAGCACCAGATTCCTGAGATTCTGCCAATCTTTTGTTTTATATTGGTTTCATATAGAATAATTTTTGTTGCTCTGTCTTCTAATTCATGGATTGTTTTCTGTTATATCCATTCTGTCTATTCATGGCTCTGTATATTTCCATTTTAGTAATTGTATTTTGCACATCAAAATTTTATTTTAAATTTATTTCTAAGATTTTGCAACTCTATTTTCATTTCAAGAATGTTTTGACCTTGTTGGAGTGTTTTATTTAGATGGTGGTCTTTCCCATCACTCCAACATCAAAAATCTATGATGCTGTAGTATTTTGAGTCAGAAGCATGCATGTGTAGCTCAAAAGTAAGTTTCATATACAACTTTATAGGGTTGCTTTCTTGAGTTCCAGCCTCTCCATGCTGTCCTTATTTTTTCTCATTCCTCGGGTGTCCACTTTGGTCCTCAAGACAGAAAACGTGTTGATTCTGCACTGCTTATACTCATGTACACACTGTATGACTGCACCCATACTGCAGCCAAAAGGCGAAGGACTTTGGCTGAAGGAGGATGCAGCATTTTTTGGCTCTTACATGGGTGTCACCCCTGCCCCCATGGCCACAGGATTCCTTTGGGGTAGAGGCACAAGAGGATGTGAAATGAAACATGGGCTTTCCTACATTCTTGCTAATATTCTCCTTGAGTTCATGCTCTGTGTGGATGCCCACTTTCAGGTTTTGAGCTATGATTAGCTTAGCTTGGAGAACAGTGGAAGAAAAAAAGATAACCTTCAGCTGAATAGTAATTCAAATGATGATCAATTCTGACCTTCCAGCTACTTAATTTTCAGAGTCTTCAGATAAGTTTTATATGCATTTTATTCATGTTTTATGACTTTCTCCAGTATAAAAGACATTCCATGTTACCTGGAATGAAGGTTCATGCCACTGTTTTTCTTTTATCCATTAATTAATGAGGGAAGCAGATATGAATACTGGTTCAAAGAACATTTGAGGCACTAGGTTGAGTTAAATTACTGAATGTTAGAAAAAGAGGTTAACATAAAAAAAGGTTACATAAAAAAAGGTTAACATCCTACAGCACAATACACTATAGTCTTTTCTGTTATACACAAGTAATTTCTACCTTCACTAGAAAAAAATCTATATTTTAACTAGCAATTAGTTCAGGAAATTTTAATTAATATTATCTTTTTGTTAAACAGCTTCACTGTTAAAGTACATTCCATTTTTCCTAAATATGAAACTAAATACATTTTCCTAGATAAACTTAAGAAAGACTCTTTGCCCCTACAGATGACATTGGATATTATGTGTCATCCTTCTTTTACTCTTGGCTTTTTTAATGTTTTGGTAATTTTTCTAAAAATTGTGATACATGTTCTTCTTGCAGAAAGCCTCAACCAAAGCAGGTGATAATGTAAGGCTGTGACATAGGTTTCCAAGAGAAACAGCCTACTTTTTTCAATTCAGTGAATGTTTATTACTTACCTAGTAAACAGTTGTACAGGATATAAGTATATGATTTTTATCTATCATGTAGCCATCTGACAATTATTCCCTTCTGTACAATATAGAAACTATGAAACTCTACTGTTGTCATTTAAAATCTGGAAACTCTATATGGTAGGGTTGTTGAGGTATAAAATACTGTATTTCTGTGATGCTCCTCAGAGTTTAACTCAGAGCACAGTATTTATTTTGTGACTTTGATTATTACTATTTTCTCTCAAAGGAAAGGCAAAGGAAAGAAAGAAGAAGAAAAATTGAAGGAGGATGAAGAGGGTACAGTGATCCCCAAAATTATTGGAGATATGAAGCTTGAAAAAGAATGGCACCCTCCCTATGACCCTGACTTCTGTGCATATGTGCATGAAGTGACCAAGTCAATTCTTCCCATAACAAACATTAAGGAACAGATTGAGACTCTTGCAAAGTAAGTTATTTACAAGCACATATACATTTCAATTTCTGAAAAATGTTTTTTGTTGTAATGGTTTGTAATCTTTAACCAATTTTCAGACAAGTACACTATAAAAAAGTAGAACATTACAGCACCTTACCTCTGACTCTGAAGCAGAAATATAACTCGAGAAAGATTTCTCAATTTCTATTTTAGATGCCAAAATCAGAGAGGAGCTAGAAATGAGTTAAAGAAAGAGGCCAGTGTTATTTTCTCTAGCCAAGCCATTACAGACATCTTGGAATGTGATCCTGAGTTGTGGCTAATGAATCAAAAGTTTACAAATTAGTTTATTCCTTAGGTAGATGGGTCCTCATTTTTTTTTAAGATTTATTTATTTATTCATACAGAACTGGGGTACAGGCCAGAGATGTGGAAGGTGAGAGGATTCACCAGGAACAGAGGGGGGAGCAGAACAGGCAGATCGACGAACTACACTGCTGAGGGGAGCAGTGGGCGGGTCAGGAGAGGTCTGCCACGCTATGTGGATCTCTTCTGGGGCAGGCGGGGATCGAACTCATGCGGAAGTGGCTTAAGCTTCTTAGAGCTGTGCTTCAACCTGCTGCGCCACCAGGGAGGGCCCGGGGTCCTCATATTTAAAATAATTATTCTGTTACACAAATAGTCATCTTGCGTTGTGTTGTTATAGGCCTGATATATTGTGCTTCACAGTGCTCTGAAATAGGAGTGTGAGTATTCTAAGAAATGGCCAGTTAGGCAGACTCAACTCTGAGTAAGGCAGTGAAGTCATCTTCTTTTTAATAGCACTTAATCTGATGCCACTAAGAGAAAACTGAGAACTTTGATGATCTGTGTAAAGTACTAGGAATCACTAGAAATGGAAAATAGCTTCATGAACAACGCTGAGCAGGGGCTAAGTTGCTGCTTCGTGGTGCAACAGCTGAGGTCTCTGTGGGTGCTTGTACTACTACAAAGAGTAGTGGGTTGCAAAGACCAAGGAAAAAGATGACTTCTACAGAGGCTTAGAAATTCCTTCTCTGCAGGTGACACTTAAACCTAATATGTAAACATTCCTGTAAGGACCAACTTTAAGAATCACATTTTAAATATTCCTGGATGTGACAATTCCAAGAAATACAATCACCTGCTCACTGATGTATTCTAGCCAGAACTTGCAGATCAGAACATTTTGGCTACGGAAGTTTTTCTGATGTCTTGAGAAGTGATGACTCAAGCAAAACTCATTCAGCTCATTTCAACATTGGCCAAATTTTCTCAGGCTTTGTTCCTATCAGAAATACTTTTCATCTTTCCAAATAATTGCTGCTGACTCACCCCATAGCAAGCTAGAGATACACATTTGCTCCCATACCTTTGGCTCCTTAATGGTCATTACTAGGCATTGACTGGGTAGAACTGAGGGTCAGCTCAGCTTCCCCCTGCCCAGTCCTTTCTCTTGTTTTGCGTTTATCTCTCTCTTTGTTTTTACCATTGCTTTTTAAACCTGGTTCCTCATATGGTAAGGTGAAATTTTCTTTATAACTGCGTTTGTGTCTTTGCCCCAAAAGTATAGTAGCCTTGGTAGACAGAGGGATTTTGCAAGTGTATTGACTGACTTATTCAGCGAGCCTAATACAAGAGAAACCCACAGGCAAAGTACATGCCCCACCCCACTCCCCACCTGCGTTACTCAGTTTTCCTTTTTACCTCTCCCTTTCTTCTTTAACTTCAGTGCTACATAAATGTCTTTCTCTAAATTAAAAACAATAACAAAAGTTGAAAATATTTGTGGCATGAAAAATTTCCTATATTGTATATTAAAACATTTAAAAATAGTTTTAAGGAGTGTCTAATATTTTAAAGTCGCATTGATAAAACATTAGTGTGATATTGATTTGTAGCTTCTTATAAATACTGGGAAAAATTGACATTGACTTCTTTGTATTCAGTGGAATTGTTAGCATTCTATTTTTGTATATGATATATTGATTATCATAAGCATATGTTAACTTTATTTGAGTAAATATATTCCAAAAGTAAAGCAAACAGAAGGATGTAGTTTTTTTGGCATATAATTATATTAAAGCATCTAAAATGAGATGTGAAACTTGACTGATTTGATTTCAATATAACTGATTCAGGTATGTGGCAGAAAAAATGGGTGGTGCAATTTCAAAAGAGAAACTTAATGAGTTCGGCTGGGAACTTCATATAAGTGAACTAAAATTTCAACTTAAATCCAATGTTATACCAATTGGACTCATCAAGAAAGGAATCTTTTACCATCGAGCTTTGCTTTTCAAGGTATTTACGGTTTTTTGCTTCATTGGCCATTTCAAACGTGTGTTCTTTATCATATTGGAATGAGCTGGTTGCCAACATGTTACAGAGTAATATTAATCCTGTCATTTAGATACACTTATCTTTGACACACATGTAGTATGCATCAGCTATACACACATGTATGTGTTTGGCTTTTTTATCCCTTGCAAATCCAAAAAATTGGCTGACCAGCTAGATTGACAAATGATCTTGTAGATTGTCAATGTATTTGCCAAACTATTAGAAACATAGTCATTCACTATTTATCATTGACTACTATAGGTCAGACCTCTTCTAGGGTCTGAGCATGCAGTTGGTATGCATATGGCGTACCAGGTGTACCTGTGCCAGACTTGCGGGCTCCAAAGTGATGTCAGGAGAGGTTCTGGAGAGAAGGTGACATATTCATGAGTATTAAGTGGTAACATAGGATTTTAACAGGTAAAGAAGGAAAACAAAATTCTAAACAGAGAAAACATTCTATGCAGAGTAACAGCAATGAGAGTTGATGGTCTACTTGAGGATGGTAGAGGAATTTGAATGGTGAGGTATTATATTTAAAGCCTGCAATATTTAAAAAGGAATGTGAGCCATTTTTCATAGCATGTGTACAACTATAGCTCCTATTACCATAACCACGGTTTTTTTTGAGTTACGTGTCAGGCACATATTAAACTATAACTGTAAAGGGCTTTAAAAATGCCAAGGTTGAAATTGTCTTCTTTTAAACACAAGAAAACTGATAATAATTTACACTAAATCAACTGGAGTTATAGTTGGAAGTTAAACCATGACTATCTGTGCCAACAACCTACCACACTGTTTCTGTGCATAGATCATTCTCATTCTCAGTCACAACACACAGTCATCACAGCTCCTTAGCAAACCACTCATTTTTCTCAGCTCACTGCAGTCTGGCCTTTGTACCCTCTCAATAAGGAGCTCATTCATGTCAGCAGGAGGCATTATCACCCTAAGGTTAAGAACATAAACTCAGGAGACAAGATACCTTCTGTTTTCTCATTAGGTCACAGTTGGGAAAATTATGTGACCTCAGTTGTGTTCTTAGTTCTATTCTCAACAAAAGATATAGCCATATCTACTTTACAGGGTTCAAATATATTTCATGGTTAAAAAGCCTTGATATGAAGAGATCAGTAAAAAATTACTTTGAAAATCAATTATGTTTTTATTTTTGTCTCTGGAATCCACTAGAATATGAATGTAAAGTTAGTATAGTAGCAATTTAATGGAGTTGGGGTAAGGAGCAGGTTAGGCTTCATATGTCCAAGCAATTTTCTGGCACCAGCTGGGTGTCCTGCAATTCCACGCACACTACCTGGGGAATGTGCTGGATCCCACAAGTTGAGAGCTTAGTCCTATATGATAACCAGGCACAATTCTGCTCTTCCTGCTCTGTTGCACCCATCACCACTACACAATATAAATCAACCACCCATCTTTGCCTCCATTCAGTTCCCACTGTATATCATCCACAAAGAGCAGCCTGGAAGCATGAAAAGGTTGATAGATGTGCGAGGGCTTCATGCCTGTGGAACAGCTTTTTCCCAATGACATTATCAATCTTGTGTTGATACAATGCAGTGTAACTGCCTGAAAAATGTCATCCATCCCAGCAGGAATGCAGGGATTCTGAGTCTACAGAGTATTGGAGAATTAGGTACTTTCTGACATTTTATTGACTCCTATCACAATATTCCCCATTTTACCCCTTCTCCCTTCTAAGCACTTCTGGCAAGAGTTGCCTGTTTCACCTTCACCCAAGATGGGCATTAACAAAGGGTTTGCCTTCACCCCTCTCCCTCCTCACTCTTGGTTTATCTCATGTTTTCTCCCACAGGCTCTGGCTGATAAAATTGGCGTAGGTTGCTCTCTGGTTCGAGGGGAGTATGGCAGAGCCTGGAATGAAGTTAAACTTATGAATGAATCTTGTAAAGGAGTGATTGGGGGTACCCCACCCCTTGAGGAATATATAGTTGACCTCATGTTTTCCCCAGGTGAACTGATGAAGGTAAAAAGTAGAGAGGCAGAACTTTACAAACATTTCTAAACTATCAAATGAACACAATAGGGATTCAACCAAAATTCATTTACACACTTTCTATGAAGTTAACCAATTGATTTAAATTTGTTCTTTTTAGATACACATATCCAAAATGTTCTCTCTAGGTAGGTATGATGATACCTGGATTGAACTAAATTGTGCTTCTGATTGCAGGCTTTTAGCAAAAGTTCCTTCTGATTAAGGCATATTAGATTCACGATACCTCCTGTAAAGCTTATTATTGTCAAAATTAACCCACCAAACTGTTTCCTGAGGAGCAGCCTCAGGAACCATGTATAGAATCACCCTGTTGCTGTTCCCAAGATAAACTGTGGCTGCCATTCTTCGCCCAGAATGCATCAGGAACACTTAGTTAAAAAAAAAAATAAATTCAATAGCTTTTCAATGCCTTCTGTTACCTTGTCTCACTTCATAAAGGTTACTTATTGTTTGAATATTTATAGATCATCTTAGTATTACAAATTCTTTCAAAGCCTTTTTGTTCATGTTTCTTAAAATTTATCATTAAGATCAATTTATGCCATCATAAACATAATATTTTAAATTCATAAAACTTAAAATTTAGTTTTTTGAAAGTTTAGAAATGTAGAAATAGAATGAATATTTGCTGGGTAATTGTTTTCAGTACTGAGGACAAATGCAATCATATACACACTTCAAATGGTAAGGACCTAAAATTTACTTGTATAGTCATTTTACCAGAAGGTTTTAAGTTAATTTGATTTTAGAAATTAAGGCTAAAATTCTATTGCAAAGAAAAAACACATGAAGTAACTACCAATAAATTGAACAAATGTACAAGAAAAGCCTATAATATTTTAATGAAATTAGATTAAATATAGATATCATTTTCCTTGATGGAAAACTAAGCAATATAAAGATTTCTATACTCCCCATTTTTATATATACATTTTGTATAATTTCAACTAAAATCACAACACATTTACTCTTCTGGGACTTAATGGCATGATTCAACTACACAAAAGAATACTATAATTTTTATTTATTTATTTAAAGATTTATTTATTTATGCTTACAGAGCTGGGGTACAGGCCAGAAGTGTGATTGGTGAGAAGATTCACCAGAGACAGAGTGGGGAACAGAACAGGCAGATCTACTGAAATACACTGCTGTGGGCGGGTAAGGAGAGGCCTGCCTGGCATGTGGGTCACCCTCCTGGCTGGGGATTGAACTCACTTCCGAGAGCTTCACAAGTGTGGTGATTCAACCCGTTGCGCCACCAGGGAAAGCCTTGGTGCTATAAGTTTTAAATAATTTTCAAATAAAAAAACAAATAGGAATTGTCTATCATACACCATAAATTAAAAGCATTAATAAATAATGTAGTGTGTTATAGAAATAAAAAGTTATAGTAGCTTTTCTGTTCAGAGAGGTAATGATAAGCTATTTAGGAAATGACAAAGAGAAAATTATAATCTTCTTAAAGGGAAGGTTCTCTCTACTCATGACAAAAACTAGAAGCCATGAAACATATTTTACAAATTTGGCTAGATTAAACTTCTAAATTCCTGCTTAGAAAAATGCAGCATAAACACAAAAAAAATTCAGCAAAATTAAATGTAAGGAAAATTACAAATGAGAAAAAATGTATCTAACAAAATGCTCAGATCCTTAATAAATAAAGCATTCGGCCCTACCTGATGGCGCAGCGGGTTAAAGCACAGCTCTAAGAAGCTTAAGCCACTTCTGCATGAGTTTGATCTCCCCGCCTGCCCCAGAGGTGACCACATGGTGGGCAGACCTCTCCTGACCTGCCCGCTGCTCCCCTCAGCAGTGTACTTCGTTGTTCTGCCTGTTCTGCTCCCCACTCTGTCTCTGGTGAATCCTCTCACCGCCCCTGCACCTCTGGCCTGTACCCCAGTTCTGTGTGCATAAATAAATAAATCTTTAAAATAAATAAATAAATAAAGCGTTCTATAAATCAATGAGAAAAAGGACAATCTGCTTGGAAAATGGCAGAAATGACTATTTGAATATTGATAATCTCCAAATGTCACCCACTAGTAGCTTAAGTCTTATATTTCACATTACAATTCAAACATTAAGGATTTTTTTAATAGTTTATTTTTACATTATTGTGTACTTTTTTTTCATCTCAATTGTAATCCCTGCGGGTTTCCCATCACTGAGTCACCCATGTGCCGTCACCATAGTCCTGTGCACTTCCCCCCCTCCCCTTTGATACCATTCCCCACTCCACCCCCACAAAATGTCTCTGGTATATGACTGTTCATTATTCTTATTATTTTCTCGCCTGGTCCATTATACTCCTCCTATGAGCAAAACCATCCGGTATTTTTCTTTTTCTTTCTTATCTCACTAAGCATGATCTTTTCCAGCTCCATCCAAGTTGCTGCAAAAGACATATGTTTCTTTTTTTTTTTTTTTGGTTGCTGAAAGACATATGTTTCTTTTTTTTTTTTTGGTTGCTGAGTAATATTCCATTGTGTATATGTACCACATCTTTTTAATCTAGTCATCTACTTTTGGGCATTTGGGCTGCTTGAAACATTAAGGATTTTCTTTAAGAATTATTTATTTTGGATAGGAATAACATGTTATTTGGTCAGAAATAGACCCAGATAATATGGGGTAATATTTGGACCAAGGGGATAGGAGTTAGATTCTTTAAAAATTGTGAAAACTCTCGTAATAAGGGAGATGCAAATTAAAACCACAATGAGATACCACCTCACCCCAGTGAGAATGGCACATCTTCAAACAACTAGCAACAACAAATGTTGGCGAGGATGTGGAGAAAAAGGAACTCTCCTGCACTGCTGGTGGGAATGCAAACTAGTACAACCACTATGGAAAACTGGTTGGAGGTTCCTCAAACTGCTAAACATGGAGCTTCCCTACGACCCAGCAATCCCACTCCTAGGTATCTATCCAAAAGACACAAAAACACTGATTGAAAAAGATACTTGTATCCCCATGTTTATTGCTGCTTTATTTACAATTGGAAAAACATGGAAGCAGCCCAAATGCCCAAAAGTAGATGACTGGATAAGAAAGATGTGGTACATATACACAATGGAATATTACTCAGCAACCAAAAAAGAGAAACACAGGTCTTTTGCAGCAACTTGGATGGAGCTGGAAAAGATCATGCTTAGTGAGATAAGCCAGAAAGAGAAAGAAAAATACCAGATGGTTTCACTCATAGCAGGAGTATAATGGACCAGGCGAGAAAATAACAAAAATAATGAACAACCATATACCAGAGACATTCTGTGGGGGTGGAGTGGGGAATGGGATCAAAAACGGGCTTTTACCTTGGTGTGAAGATTCCCAGATTCCCAACCCCCTTAAAGATGCCTCTGTGACAAAATAAATATGCAGTTCCCTTCCATGCTCCAAATGCATGGTTTTCCAAATGCATGGTTATTGACCTTAAAACAAAACCAAATCATTTTTAAATGCAGATTGCTATATGTATGACAAATCTTTTCATAAAATGTCAGGAAAGACTCTACTTATCTGTTCCTTCTTTGTTGTGCTTTGGACATTTTTCAAATGTCCCATCTATAAACCACACTATGCTTCTCCACTTTAAAACTGATGACATATTTACTCTCAAACTGTAGACTGTGGGACATACAAGGTTATATAAAACATTTATCTAATATTATACTTTGTCACATAAAGTGAGATCAACCAGAACCACAGGCATCTAAGTGTTCAGGATTCATTGTTATCGACACATCAAAATAATAGACATTTTGAAAAACAAGGCTGTGAAATAGCCTTTATGTCCACTCAGACCTGAAGATAAAGATATTTGGACACAGTATGAGGGGAGTTTTTAGCAGTTTTTGCACAGTGGATGGCACTGTGTGCCCAGTGTTGAATTAATAACATGGCTTTGTTACAAACTAGCGACCCCCCCCCCTCACCAAGAGCCTCAATTCTGCAGTGGTATTTCTAGGGCTTATTTTGATTTCATTCTGTCTGTTACTTTGTTTCTCTGTGTTCTGTATATGAATTAAATCACCAGGTGTTTGTCTTTCTCCTTTTGACAGCACTTAGCACAATCCCCTCCATTACCATCCCTGTTTTCATAAATGGCAATAGCTAAGTGATAGTATAGCTGTGCACATGAACATTTCATATGTACCTGTTGGTCATCTGTATGTCTTATTTTGAGAAGTATCTGCTAAAGTCTTCTGCCCATTTATTTATTGGGTTCTTTGCTTTTATTATATTGTATACTATGGAAATCTAACTAATCTGACTACTTGGAATTACTGGCTTTCCTTGAGATCAAATGGAAATAACATAAGATGTTTTAACTACCAATTATATATAATTTTTATAACAAGTAATTTCTAATCATGAGTAATTAACAAGTAACTCCAAAACAAGTATAGTAATTCATAAATATCATGTAGCATCATAAGTGGTTACAACAACACATGCATAATTACTGGATTTTCTAATGTAAACAGGAACCAGATTAGCTCCCAGAAAACTCACACACTTTCAGCAGCACAGTGGTAACAAGTCTCTAGAATAGACCCTCAGACACACTTTCTCCAAACCAGAACACTAGAACTCCAGAGGAAGTTCTAGTGACTGCAGCATTTTTTAATATAAAACAATGAACAACATTATTTTTAAAAGTTTAACAGAACCATTCATAGACTTAAATTGTAGATATATTACATAAGAAAAATTTTATCTGATATATGTAATAAAACTTAGAGTTTTGGTGTAGTCATGTATGCTATTTTGAAAGCTCATATTCCTAAAGTCAGGAATTTAAAATGAACTCCAATGCATCAAGTATTAGGCTGATAGAAATAATCATTTCTTAACCTTCTTTAAAATGTCACAGCAATCAGTTCTTACACTGTTTCACCTTTCTTCCAGATCAACCTGGGCAAGAAAAACACAAGTAAATGCTTTAGAGCCATTTTACACAATTTCATTAAATTGAGGGTGTTCTTTCACAAACAGCGTTTTTTATCATTTCTATCATGTGGAAAAGTGC